GAGGACGAGAGGGTGTGGCCCATGGAGACGCTGGCAAACGTCAGACTTCCCCATCTTGCGCTGTGCAGTGCAGTAAAGCTTGTCTACTTTGGTCCGGTCGCTTTGGGAATTTAGTGAACATGCATTTATTGCTATCAGCTTGGTCCACATTATTTAAGGAAGAACAATTTTGTGCGAGTGAATACTGCAGATCAGGCGGAGGAAGATGTGACGTGCTGGGGACCTGACTTCAGGCCTACCCAGGGCACAGTTGGAGCGAGTCTGGAAAGGCCCCAGGTGAGGGGTCTCTGATGACCGTTCTTGCTGTCCCCGCTGACTCTGAAATACTCAGTATAGGGTGAGTTTTCAAACTTGGCCATCAGAGTACTCTGCATAAAATTAATGTGCTTAATTACACAGACTGTGATCTAGGCAGTCAAGCCAGACTGGCATGAGAGAACCCCAGCGATTCTTTCATGTCATTATGAGGGGACTTCAAAAATCCGTGGACAAATGGAATTAACGTTTGAGTTTGTATTCATGTGAAAAAAATGAGGTCCATGCAGTTTTGTCATAATACATAACTTTTAAACACCCCTTGATGATGGAATTAGTTCTTTAGAGCAGCTGTGTGATTTGAACAGGGACAGTGCGAGCTAGTGGGGATGTCTCCAGAGGCGAGTGATGGCGCTGTGGCTGTGCTGCCTTGTAAGGCGGGTGGGGCTGGGTGCCCAGGGCCCTGTGGGAACTGCCCCTGACTGGCATTGTGAAGGATGCAGCACAGCAGACCTGGGCCGCACATTCTGTGCTTCCTGTGCAGGCCCATGTGAGGTGAAACTGACACAGCCAGATTCTGCCACAGGTGAGCCAAGCAGAACAGGTGAAAGTACCCTCCCACTAAATGCGGTAACGATGCCCCATGCCACCAGCTGTAAACCATAAGGGGTGCATGCCTAGGCTGGCCTTGCTCTTAGAAACCCAGGTTGGGCAGTCCATGGTGCTGGCTGGCAGAGCGGGTGAGTTGTGGAGCTGAGTGGACACCTAGTGGCCATGTGTGGGAACTGCATGGTCTCTGCCTCATTTCTGAATGGCACTGGGCTTCTGGCAGGAAAGGTGGCTCCCTCTCTTGGGCCAGTACAACCAAGGCAATGTCTCACATCTTTCCTTCCTCCACCAAATTCATTCCTTGAAACGGCAATCATTTGCACTCCTGGTATGTGCCAAACCCTGTTCTGGACTTTGAACATGGCAAGGAAAGGGACAAAGTCCCCATCCTGATGCTGAGATTTCTAGTACGGATTGGGTTCAGGAGAGAGAAGGTGGGAGAAATGGCAGGCATGGAGGAAGATGAAGCAGTGAGGAGTAGGAGTAGGGGGAGAGGAAGCCAATAGGGCTCCGAGAGGCTGAAATGTGATGCTGGGAAGGAGGCAGCACACCAGGCTGATGGGGGCAATTTCACAGCCTGGGGGAAGGCTGGGTGGCTGGGCAGGGCTGCTGTGTGGCGGGCACCATGTGGAGAGGCAGAGGAGCTGATGGTGTCCACTGTCAGCAGCGACGAGTTTGGATGAAATAGTGATGGTGCCTTTTCTGTTGCAGAACGTGGGCTGCTGTGAGGGGAAGGGATTGTGGGGTGGGTGTTGGTGGGCAGTGGGGACCTTATAGGGGAGCTGGAGGGGAGGCTGTTGCAGGGGTGTAGGTGAGGGTGGCCTGAGTGGGAGAATGGGTTGTGGAGGTTAACAGTGGGAGAGATTCACCTGATGGATGAGATCCTGGTAAGAGAGAAGTCAAGGGTGGGCTCCTAGATTTTTGGCCTGAGGAGCTGCTCGGTGGCACTGTTTACAGAGAAGGCAGCTAGAGGGTGATGTGTTTGGGGTGTTCTGTACAGGTTCATTTTGAGGTGCTTATGAGCCAGCCTGCAGCTGAGGGGCAAGTCAGGGCAAAGGATGGAAATTTGGGAGACACTGGTTTCTGGGGTCGGAGTGGAATGCACATAGGAAGGAGAGCTCAGTAGGCGGAGCCCAAGGCACTCAGATGAGGACATGGAGGAAGATCTGACAGAGGAAGTGGAGAGTTTACTAGAGGAAGGACAACGAGGAGAGGGTGTGGCTGAAGAAAGGAGTGCTCAGGAGGGAGAATTCCCATTGCATGTAAGCAGCGAGGAGTTTTTCTTTTTCTTTTGAGAGATTTTTGCTATAGGGCGCGTGTGCTCGCCAGACAGACAGAGAGAGACATAGAGACAGAAAGCGAGAAATCACCCCCCAGGGGGGATGGTCACTCCGCAATCCCTTCTCCTCCATTCTCCTCTCGGGATCTTGGGCACACACGCACACGCGCCCGGCGTGAGTTTTAAGCCACCGGGTCCGGGACGTGAACCGCGGTCGACTATGTGGGAGTCCAGCGACATAGCCATTACGCTAACTGCTGGTTCCCAGCAGTGAGGAGTTTTTGATGACCTCTGGAAGGACTCTGGGAACCGGGAGACCTGAGTGGAGGGAGAGAATGGGAGACTGGAGACAGCCTAGGTAGACAACTCTTCAGCGCCTTGTGAAGGGCAGGTGTGGGGAGAGGTAGGGGGAGTCAAGGGAGGAGCTGAATGAGGGCTGGTAAGGTAGAGCTTATCCCAGGGGGGATTATCCAGCAGGGGTGGAAAGAGATACCAAAACCCAGTCCTTTCAGCGGAGCAGGTGTGCAGGGTTAGCCCTCTGTAGGATCAGGGATGAATAGAAAGCAGGTGACGGGTGGGCACAGATTAGATGTGGGGAAGCCAAGGTATTCTTGTGCAAACCCCCATGCTTTAAGAACAAAGCCAAGTCATTTTCAGCCTGGAGAAGGGTAAGAGCAGGAGGGTTTGAAGCCAAGCCCAGAGCAGCGTATCCCAGGCCAGTCCTCGAGATGCCCACACAGGCCAAGGTCCATCTTATTGCCAGTGTTGCAGAGCTGGGCTCTTACCCCGCTTTGCTCAGTGCTTCCTTTCCCACACCTCCTCAGTGCCACTGCTCTTCACTTAGAAACTCTCTCCTAGGAAGACAGGCTGGTTCCATTTTCCAGCTTGAAGTTGGAGTTAGGGCTTTTGACCTCAGCAAGAGCATGGCACCATTGCACAGATGGGGGTGCCTCAGAAATGATGCTGGGGGCTGGTGATAGGCCAGTTACTGGCTCTGCATGGACCAACTGCCAGGCACCACCAGGGCACCATTATGTTGAGGCCCCAGAAGCCATCCGAAGACATTCTCTTCCTCTGAGGCCTTTGCAAACCCACAGGCACAATGGAAGTGTGGTCTGTAATCGTGGGGACCAAATGAGGTGATGTGTGAAAGAAGATGGTGATTGATGACTACTATTAGGTTGCTGGAAAAATCATGACTATGTGTTCTGTTTTTCTATGCAAAAGTGTGTCATGACTGACAACCCAATAGCTCCAGTAGTGTTTCTATTGTTATTTCTCCAATCATGTGGCTAATTCTAGATTTTGCATTTATCTTCTGGGAAGAGTATAAAAATCTTTAGGTTACACAGTGGAGACTTTGGAGGAATAGGTTCAGGTTGGATCCCAGTCCCACCTGTCTCACTCTAGAAAACCTTGGTGAACGTATTTAGCCTGACTCTGGTTAACGCACACTGTTGGCAATATGGGGATGACAATCTGTCACCCTAGGATTGGGGATTATATGTAACAGCACATATAGACACTCGGCTCAGACGCTGGCCTAACAGAGATTTGACTCACTGAGTAGCAGACACTCACCGAGTGTCTGAATGTCTTGTGTGTGCCAGGCACTGTCCTAGGCACAGAAGATTGAACAAGGAACCGAGCCCTCGCCCCTCATGAGGTTTGCTTCCTAATGGGCATGGTGGATGGCCCACAATAAACCATGCACGCTTTGCCACCTAAGTGTGTGGGAGAGAAATAAAGCAGGGTGATGGCTCCATCCAAAGAGGTCTCTGGTGACATTTGAGCACAGATTTGTTGAGTCACATAGGCATCCCACATGGTGGCTGTCACCTCTGGAATATGGAGACATGCTTGGCACTTGGGTCATTTTCCTGCTGGCTAGGAAAGGTCACTGGGCACAGCCCTTCAGCCTCTCTGCTTCTTTTGCAGGGTTTAACTCCCTCGTGGGTGGCGTGATGGGCTTCTCCATTCTTCTGAGTGCGGAAGTGTTCAAGCACAACGCGGCGGTCTGGTACCTGGATGGCAGCATAGGTGTGCTGATCGGCCTCACCATATTTGCCTACGGGGTCAAGTACGTTCTTACTTTCATCTTTGCTTTCTTGGTGCCAGGAGTGCCACTTTCCCCACCTCTTCCCAGTCAGGAGATGATAGAGCAGGAACTGGACAGTGCCATCTTGTACCCGTGCCCCTCCTGAGCCTGGCCCATGGCAGGAAACTGAAGTCCCAGCCGGGGGCAGATTCTCTTGTGGCTTGCACAGAAGTGGGGCACTACTGTCTATAGTATACTAGTTGGTCCTCCCTTTCAACCTCTGTGACCTGAAGGTTCAGGCTCTCAGGATGCCCCTGGCAGGTATCCTGTGTGGTTTCCTTCCTTGTCACAGGTGGGTGATGCTAGTGAGCTGGGGAGGCCAGGCAGCACCACTTGGCTAGAGGCAGGGCCCTCAGACCCAGAGAAGTTTTTGCAAAGGGGACTTGTCAGTGTGAAAGGGCCATGCTGATGGAAAAGCCATGGTAAACATCAGTCTTAGCTCACACTGCATCCTATCACTTGAAGGAGGGCCACGTCAGCATTACTGACTGGTCCAACATCCAGGCTGGAGTTGATTTGGTGGAACTATTTCTAAACGGTGCTGTGTTTTGAAATGTTAAAATGCTTATCACCCAACTGGTGTTTTAGTCCAAAAGAAAAGTAATTACAAGGGCTGGTGAGGATGTGGAGGAACTGGAACCCTCATGTGTGGCTGGTGGGGATGTACAGGGATGCTGCCGCTTTGAAAAACAATTTGGCAGTTCCTCAAAGCGCTAACCATGGGCTTGCCATCAGACCCAGTCATTGCACTCCATGGCACATACTCCAGAGGAATGAAAACAAGGGTCCCTGCCAAAACCGGCACACGGACATACACGGCAGCAATGTTCATGGTAGGCAAAAGTAGAAATAACCCAAATGGCCATTGATGGCAAATAGATAGATGTGGTAGATCCCTGTAGAGGACTATTATTCACCATAAAAAGGAATGACATGCTGTTAGGTTGTCAGAAAAGTCATGATGTAGTTTTCTATACAAAAATGCATCGTGGTTTTCCCAACGACCCAATAATACACTTAGCCTGTCATGTGAAAGCAGCTCACTGCAAAGGCCACGTAGTGTATGATTCTACTTATATGCAATACCCAGAATGGGCACATCCAGAGAGACTGAAAGTAGGTTACAGGGGGCCTGGGGAGGTGGGGAGGTGACAAGGGGACTGTGGTTGATACAGGGTTTCTTTTCTGGGATGATAAAGATGTTCTAGGATTAAGACCATGGGGATAATGACAAAAATTATGAATATACATCAGAAAGGGTCAACTTTATTGGGTCATGAGAAAAGTCATGACGCATTTTTGCATAGAAACACCCAGCAAAATATAGCATGGCTTTTCCAGCCCCTCAATATTTATGTGAATGATCTCAGCTAAAACCCCCAACGACTTCCTCTGTGCTTCCCAGAGTGGTCCCAGGGATATGGGGGCCCTCTGTCAAGGCAGCCTGGTCTTTCTCTTTGCAGACTCCTCATCGACATGGTGCCGAGGGTGAGGCAGACGCGTCACTACGAGATGTTTGAGTGAAGGTGTGTCCTGGGCGGCTAACACGTTTGCACAAAGATGGTCAAGAGGAGAGATTTCCACACAGGCAGATGGTGCCAATATTTAACGGAACATCCAGTTTCTTTTCTAAATGTTTTCTTTATACAGTTTGTTGTCCTGGGATGATGTCTGCCCGGCAGGTCGGTCTGCCCTGGTCCCCTCACTCGCTGTTCCCATCAGACACGTAGGACTTTGCCTATAGGAGGGACATGCTTCCCCATCTCCAGCTGAAACTGACATCAAACGGACATCTTCTATTTCCTGGAGTAACGTGGTTCTTGTGGGTAGGATACGCTCTCTTCTTGGCAGAGTGTCCTGTGGTGCTCTAAGCCTGAAAAGTCTAGCAAGTGACCAGATCCACCTCCTCTGGCCTGTGGCTGCAGCAACCCTCAGTTCCAAAGTCTCTTCTCTCCCGGCTGAGATTAAGGGAGGCCTGTCCCCTTTTGCATACCGAGAACCATCAGTATATCACTTCCTAATTTCTATCAGTGTATTTCATTCGTTTCATACTGTTTTACTAATCCTAAAGCTAAACAGATTCGTTCAAAAGGAGACCAGTCTATTTTTAAAGTACTTAGTATATATGTATGAGCTTTGCATGGACGAACTCAATAAGCACATGACCCTTTCTCATACATTCAGAACCTGAACATCTGTGTAAAAACAGGATCCATTTTTGAGAGATGTGAAAGTACAGTTTATTTGTAATAAATAATTATATAACCTATCAGTATATGCATATATCTATATGCTGTGTTAAGTGGTAATGATACATTACAGTCTGTGGGAGATGGCTCCCTCTGTAAGGCACAAGACGTTCTCAGTGTATGTAACGTTAGGTGTAGATTCCGTAGAGATGTCCCCACCCCGCAACGTTCTGTACCTCTCACACTACTGGCCCAGGCGGCAGTGTCTGACTAATAAAAACCTTACCTGTTTTGTATGGCACAGGGTGATCATCTCTGAGAGTCTTCACTGCGGCACCAACACTGGGGGAGGCCCCGTCCTGGGCAGGTTTTCTATGGTGGCTATTTGTGCTTGAGAGGATTAGAGTGGAGACCCTGAAGGACTGCTGGGAGGGCAGGCCCACTATGAGTGCTCAGGGTGGGGAGGAGAGCGGAGTGGCCACACACCTATCTGGTGGGGCTAGAGGCTGGTCAGGCCTGGAACTGAGGGAGGCTGCTCCCCAGACCTCACCCCAGCCTTCGGTGTCCCTTCTCCCACCAGGCTGGCTGAGGGAAGGTAGTTTGTCCAACAAGGTCACAGGGCGCTGGTCTAGGCTGCTGCTCTCAGGGCAGTGTCCCCACAGTACCCAGAAGAGAGTGGAAAATGGAGCATTTGAGCACAGTTGGAAAGAGGAGTTAGTCGTCTTCTGCTCTGCAGGCTTTATCACTGTATTCCATTGTACTGCGGGAGCTCACGGAGGAGAAGCCATGATGTAGCATTCCTCAAACTCAGGCACTCGGCTCCTCTGGGCATCATTTTTAGCCCGGTGCTCCACCACACATGCTGTGTGGACTACGTGGCATCTCTGTTCTAGGCAGTAATCCAACATCTGGAGCTTCAGAGAGGCCGGGCTGAAGGGGTCAAGCCAAGGCGGATCCAGCAGCACCTTCAGACAGCCCCTTAGTATGGGCACAGAATTGACCTTTACATCTCCAGGGCATTCACCCATCCAAGGCCCATGGCCCACTGGCACCCAGCTCAGAAATTGCTCTTCTTTAGCTGGAGAAAGGTCTTCCAGGTCTAATGGGTTCTGACCCTCAGAGAGCCACCTCAGGGCTATTTTACTAGCCTATTGTGAAAGATATCGAAGGTCTGCCTCAGTGCACAATTTCCTCAAAAATAAGGGCTAGCAGGTCGCTCTTTGGCTCAGATCCTTCAGGGAGTGGAGGGTACACAGTTCTAAGCTTTGTGTCAGAGATGATTAAGGGACAGAATACTCAGTAGTAAAATACTTCTCCTCCCCCTCCTCAAGCATACCTTATTTTGTATGAGAGACAGACACCCCCGCCAGTCTTCACACCAGATCTACCCTCAGCTGGCCTGGCTCACAGGTGTACGTTCATGCCTAGCATGGACAGGGAGGCCCTGGCATGGGAACCACAGGCCTCCCTATGTGGGTCGTGGGACTGCTGCACCCGACTGCAACACAGCTGCACAGCAGCTTGGCTTTGTTCCGTGGTGACCCTGTGCCCACCCAGTGCTCCCCAAAAATCACTTCCACCTGTCACACAAGAAAAGTTTATTGAAAAATAAAGTTCTCCCTAGTTTTCTCTACAACAGTGGAAAACAAAGCAGTGTTCTCTATACTGGGACAGTACATTTGGACAGCGACACCTTATTGGCACAGTCCTGTGCTACTTACCCCAGAAGGGAACAGTAGAAAATGGGTGGACCAGGATCTGTTTGAAGACACAGATGTGAACGGCCATTAGCTTAAAGACATCAAGGTGGTGACAGCAACTACGACAGAAGGGACATCCATCTCCTTTGGCATCAATTGTTACGCTATCGTCTTGTTAATACTTGGCCAGGACCGTGAGAGCACTTCCCAGCTTGCTCTGTGTCAGCGCTGGGAGACGTGGCAGCCTGCGCAGAGGTGCCTGACCCGCTGTCCCCGCAAGGTGTGTAGACCCGCGCACTGCAAAGCCTCCTAGCACCACTGCCCACCCCCGCCTTTCACACGGGGCTCCTTTCTTGTACCTCTGCCAGGCCTCACTAGCGGTGGGGCTGGGAAGAGAGTGAGGGCCAGTCTAAAGGCTCCGCAAACTCTGGGATAGAGGGAGAGATGCTTTAAGGAAGGTAAAATTCCAATCATTACAGCCATGGAATTGTAAGACTGTTGATTAAGCAGAAGAGAATCCAAAGGAATTTGAAAAGGCCACTGGACTCCAGCAAATCTCCCCACATTCCACAACTGCAGTCTCTCCAGAGCTATGTCGAGACTGGGCAGCAGATAAACTTTCAATCCACCTAGGAAGCAAGAGGCTAAATCCCCAACAGAATAAAAAGCAAACTGATAGGTGCTTTGGGAAAACATCCTTAAGCCGGAGCAGCTTCTGGGGGCAGTTCTGAAAGAGGTCAAGACCTCTGCCCTGGGGGAAGGGGCAAGGGTGAGGGCGGGGGCGGGGG